CACAGAATTTGTTTCATTTTTAAAGCAAAATTGGATACAAATTCTTTGATCAATTTCTTTTAACGAACGAAAAATCGTCGAGCTCATAAAACACATCTAACCTTAGCGGCTTCCACAGACAAAGTAAAGAATGAAAACAGCTAAAGTTTTTATCATACTTCAGGGGGATGTATACCAACGTAATAAAGAAAATTTTATGACAACCGGACCCTCCAAACCCGCGAAATTTAACAATTCCCGTTGTTTTCTGAACACACCTCGTATAATACCGATTTTTGTTTTTACCGTCAAGTGGAGACTTTCTCAATCAACGCTTTTAATAATGCATAATGCTCTTTGAATTTAGACGACTTTTAGGTTTTATGATTTGAACTATATTGAAATAATAATAATAATAAATAATAATAAAATAATAACTTTTTTCACATAAATCATTACTAAAATGTTTATTTATTGATTTTATTGACAGGGACTTATTCAATTTATTTTTTAATTTAGATTTCCACTGTTTATTGGGAAACCAATATTTACCCAAGATTTCTTCTCTAAAAACACTCAACAACACAATAAATCGTTTCACGTTTTTTATCCTGATATTTAGAACATTTTCTGGCCCTATTCTCAAAAACACTCGTTTGTAACATGCGCGTTGGACAGGTGATTAATAAAAGTTGTGGTCTTGCTACGACGGCCATGTGGTGGCGATGGTTCTTTAGGGTACACTGAAAAAAATAAGCTGTTGAAACAACAACAAAAATATTAATTCAACTCTTTATGCACTTTAAATACAAGCAATTGTTTTTGCACTTTTACTTAACCATCTAAAGATGTCAAATTGTATTGTTTAATTGAACAACAAATATTAGTCAAATGAACAAAATGAGAATATTGGTTCTTAAACATTCTTGATATGTTGGAGTAATTTTTAGAAAATGGTTGTGCTAACATTTTTAACATGTTGAGGTAAATTTCTTGAAATGTCCAGGTAACCTTTTTAGCATATTCACAACACCAATAAAATGTTAAATTAAAATAATTTGTGCTAATGTTGAGTTAATAATTATGAAATTAATATAAAGAGAAAGAATTGAACCTTCCCTCGCCAGAGTTTTTGTTTTGAGTGCGTTCCACCTACTTCAAATACCTACCGAAAGAGAGCTGATTCGACCTATATTGGGGGGGGGGGTCTTATCAGTCGCTGATAATCATTGTCGGACAATTTGGTGTAGTGGAAGTTCAACTGTGAAACACACCGAAAACAAACGGCTACCTGAGCTTATATACTCCTATCGTAAGCCAACTGAGGCGAGATGTAAGAACATCACGTGATCAACACCGTTTAATGACGTGGCGTGGGTGTTCGAAGCGCCCTTCACGGCAATTTTATGAATGCAAAATTAACAAATTTTAAAGTAACATTTACAATTTGTTAAATGAATAAATTTAATGTTTTGGGTTTAAAGAGCAACTAAACGTTAATTTAAAAGGTAATCCTAAAAATTTCAGTATTTGATTCAACCAATTGCAGCTATTAAATCAAAATAGGATAAACATTTTAATTCAAAAAATTAGTTTATTTAAATCAATATTTTAACTGTCAAATGAACAAATAAACTTTGACAAAATCTGACTATTGCTTTGACACCAAAATATAGATTAATCTAATAGGTTTTTTGATGAAACAACATTTTTAAAAATGGCATTTAGGCAAACGTTAATTAACTACATTATTTTTTTCGGTGTATAGTAATTTATACAACAAGAATATAAAGCTCCGCTTTTTTGAACGTATACAGAACTTTATGAGGAACTTTTATAACGAGCTGGAGTGCAGTTTTAAAACCTCATAGTGCAAAGAAGTGGCTAAATATTCGAGTTGCATATATTATTTTTTATTACCATGATAATTTTAAAAATAATTGCTAAAAATGTGAAGAAATTATAATTATGTTAAAGAATAACTGAGATACCTGATCTTATGCAACCAAGTTTACAGGTATAAAAAAAGTAGTTGAGACAAACGCCTAATTTTTCTATTTAATTTGTCACAAACGAAAATTTGGTTTAAGATATATTGTTTTATTTAAAAACAATAATTTTTAAATATGGCTCAACCTTCTCGTGTTAAATAATTGAAACTGAACTAAATATAAATTCAGTCTAGATTTTAATATAAAATGCAGGTACTTCTCTCTTAAAAATTTTAAGGATTTCTTAATTTTGAAGCACCCTGTACATTTGATTTAATTTTTTTATTGGTATCTAATTTTTATCACTTAAAAGTTTTTATAAAAAATACCGCTCTTCTGTTAAACGAAGCATTGTCATAAATCTTTATAGAAATACTTTAATTAATACTAGTTCAAAAACCAAATTATTATAAACCCCAAATACAAATTTTCATTTTAAAATGAAGCTAAAATGTCATTATGTAATGTCAAACTATCCTAAAAATGATGTTCTAATAGTTATTTATGTCATTAGGATAAGTGAGTATTTTTTTGCTGATTATAATAACAATTCAAATCTTTTATCATTAAGCGTTCTAATTTCTTAGCCTTTTGACATATATGACTTTTATTGAAATAAGAACGATTCTATTTAAATGCTTAAAAAAATAGTACAAAATGACTTTTTAATTTGTAAATGCTAAGCCCGTTGGGAAATTAAAAAAATAATAATTTGGAGATACCAACAAGCGATGCTACAACGAACCTGAATTTAAGATAAGAAGCATATTGCATTGTTTATACTTATTTATTGTGAATTATTGTGTTTTGTATTAAAAACGAAGTTGCATTTTTATGTTTTACCAAAGAATACATTTCGGCACGTATGTTTAAAATTATTTTTTTTATTTGGGTCCTCTAAATGCAAACGCCGACAACGGCATTTTAAAATAGTAAAGGAAAAAATATATCTACGAATTTTAGCATCATACATATTATTATAATATTACTATTATTCAATACAATATATAATACCCGTTTTTTGTCTTTACCGTTAAGAAAAGACTAAAGACTAAATTAACGCTTTAACGTATTCATAATTCAGCTTTCGCTGCTTGCGTCTGGATGACGATTTGTTATATGATTTTCACTGAATTTTAATAATTCCAATTTTTTTGCAAATCATTAATACAATTCGTATTTATTGTATATTATATAAACAATTGATATTTTACAGGGACTGTATGCAATTTAATTCTTCATTTTAATTTCTACCGGGTGAGTTACAAGGAGATATTTCTAAAACTGTTTAAATTTTTTTTTAAATGTTGGTAAATTAATAGAGAGGTGGGAGCACATATTTAAACATATTTTTGACATCTACCCACCTCCCATATTTTGAGGAGCGGGGGGTAACTATGGATTTTTAATCAGTAGGGATGATGTACTTTTCAAGAAAATGCTAAAAAATATTTTTTATTTATTTATGAACTGTACGAAATTCATTTAAAAAAATAGTGAAGAAGGGTTTGGGAGTTAAACTATAAATTAGTTAAAATTTAATTGTTAAAGCGCAAATCAAAAATTTTTCTGCACACATTCCTAGTTTTTATGTAGATTCAAATAAAAAAAAAATACGTCATCCCCATTTAAAATTCAAAGTTACCCCCGCCCCCTGGTAGATGTTAAAATCATCATCATTTAAGTAAAAAGACTATCAAAACAATTTAAACAATAAACAACATTTGTAATTGTAATTTTTTATTTTTTAATTGTTGTTAATTCGGCTGCTCCATTCCAAAACACAGTATCCAAAATGATGATGATTTTTAACATCTACCCCCTTTTCCTATTTTGAGGGGCGGGAGTAAATAGGGATAAAGTACTTTTTTTTAAATTTGAATATAACTAGGTATTTGTGTAAGAAAAAGTTTGATTTGCGCTTTTGGATACTGCATTATGATTTATTAGATTATAAGATGCTAAAAAATATTAACAAATAAATTTCAACTAATTTATCGTTTAACTCCCAAACACTTCTTTATTATTTTTTTAAATGAATTTCGTACAGTTTAAATAAATAAAAATAATTTTTTAGCATTTTTTAATTTAATAAAACATAATTCCGTAAGCAAATTGTTAAAATTGTTTTGGTGGGTTTTTGCTTAAATTGATATACATGCTAATATTTTATAATTATTTAATTATTATACTAGTAATAGTATTTTACAATGAGCCACTACCCAATGAAATTTTGTGGTCCAGTTTAAACGTCATTCATTATTAGAGGTGACAGAGCAACAAAATGTATGTTTCTCTGTGGTATTTTTTGACATATTTGCCAAGTTTATTTAGATTTTAAAATTTGCTGCAGTATTTTGGATTGGGTTTTCATATTTTTAATTTTAAATATTTAAGAATCGAATCCCTAAATCAAAATTTTATTAGAGCTTTTTTATCTAAATTTATTTATTAATTTAAAATTTTCAGTGACCTTAAAGACCTAACTAATTTATATTGCAATGTCTGCCAAATCTAAAGTTAATTAATTAAGTAGTTTAGAAGTTATAATGTCTTTCTGTTAGGAAACATTTTCAGACAATAATTTTTAAGAATGTACACTGGTCGACAGCAATTTTGTAACATGATGGACAACAACTATCTCAACAAAATCTAAGATAATTTGGGTTTGCTGATTCCAAAAATTACCATATTTTTTCTAAATTTGCTCTTGTCATTATAAAATCAGCGCAGTCAAATTACCCTGAAGAAGCTTTAGGACATCCTGCGGCAAACAAAATAATTTGTCACCTCTTAAAATTATTGACGCCTAAACTAAAATTTTAAATCTTTTATGTATAGCATAAAGAGACTTTTTTAAACAGATTTAATCAAAGTTTAATTATTTAATACATCACAATACAACTTATAAAAATACTAGATTTTTAAGATTAGATTTAGGTTAATTACATATTTTATATTTTATTCATATATTGATTTTTATGCAAATTGGCACAAATTAGTAAATGGCTTCTATATAAATATATCAAATAAATTATTTTAATACTATTTCAAAAGAATCAGTCTTCTTATGTTGAATTAGGATCCGAAAAAATAGGCTTGTTTGTTGTAGCTTCAATAACGATGCCTTTGACTCCAAAAACTTTTCTCAAAAATGGCCTCATAGTTTCCAGGAGACGTTGCGTTCTTAGAGCTGAGTTCTAAAAAAAAGGTAAATATGTGTCAAGCACCTGTTAGGAATACAATGCAAGAATAAACCTTGACAATTGAATAAATATTTAAAATTAACTTGTGCAATACTTTTGTCCTTATGTTTGTTTATTTGGTAATTTTTGAAAATGTTTAAAATATTAACATTTTAACAGATTTTTGTGAAATCGACTTACAATCATCCAGTCTCCGATGGTGGTAGAAAGATTTGTTACCAATGAAAAGGAAGATCCAAAAAGTTTATCATCTACTTCAAGAGAAACTGGTTTGTCCTTTTCAAAAATTACGATGTCTTCAGTTGTGGTTGGTGTCTTTTTTGTTGTAGTTTTTTCCCATGCAAAACCTTTTGGTGGCTAAAAATAAAAGTAACCTCATGAAATCTGTATTACAAAATATTTAGAATTTTAAATTTAACTGTGTAAACCTATATTAAAATGCCAAGGAATTATGCTTATATGATTATACCATTTAAAATCAGTGAATGTGTAGGTGTCAATACTATTTCGCAAGAGTTTAATGCAAAAATATAGTATTTAGGCATAGGCTTGTATTTAAAATGTTGATATTTATTTATAAACCAATTTATTAATAGAATTTTATTTTTAGAATTGAAGATAAATACTGGGTCAAAAACAGATGAGTTAAATTTTGAAAAAGCCAATGAGGGATAATTTCTTTAATTTAAAATCTATCAATTTTACATAAATAAAGTTCCAATTTTTTGTTTTTATATTATTTTTTACAACTAAGTCTATGATAACAATTTAACAGTAAGGATGCAGGAAAAGGTAAAATGATAAGGAAATGAATAAGCAATGAAATAAAACCTGTAAACCAAACACAAAAAGAAAGTCAATATAATAATAAACTTATTTATTTATAACTTATTTACAATTTATACGTAACAGCTAGGTACAGAAAATTTTATTTACACAAAAAAAATAACCTCATTTCAAATAGTTTTAGGAACCTAAGCTAAAAAATTACAAAGAAATGGCAAATAATAAAAAATATTACTAAAAATTAAATAAAACCCACAATAAGAATTAAGGAAAAATTAAAAACACATATAAATTATGTTATTGTAATTTTATGGTAACATTTAAAATTAAAGCCAAAAAGGTTTAAAGTTTAGGAAAAATTTCAATTGACTAGATTTACTATTTTCAAGATTTAAATTTTGATTTTTCCGGGTTGTTTTAACTGAATCTAATATTACTTTGGAAGCTTTAATTTGACATCAAAATACTAAAAAAATCATAGCTTTATTTATTATTTTTTAGCATAAATAAAGTAAGATAAGTTTCAATCCAAAGCAAGAGAAATAATAATTTATTTATTTAATAAATAAACATCCAGCGCCAACTTAGATGGCGGCGTGGGCTGAAGCTTCGACATGGCCGCCGCCGCTCAAGCCTCCCAAGAGGGACCCGATATTGAACCCTGTGTGACCCCCGCCAGACGAGCCGGAAGTCAGTTTGTTGGTGACCACGGTCAAAATCGGTCCGGCAGCTTGGAGTTTTTCGCCGATTGCGCCGGAAATGGCTTCGGACAGAGTGGTGACTGGATCCCTCGGTGGTTCGATGCCGTGCTGTCTATTTTTTTCGATGTTTCCGCGGTCCAATTGGTCGACCCATGCGGTTTTTTGGTCGATGAATTGGTTAATTTTCTGTGAATTTTCAACGGGGTGTGAATTGATGATTATTTACACGTGTGATAAGTGAATGAATGGAGTGTATTAAGGTGTTAGTAAAAACATATTTTATAGTATATGTTTTGTAGTTATAATCCTTTGGCATCTTTATTTTGTAAAAGGCATAATTTGAAGTTATAAAATGTTATAAACCTATGCCTATACTAAAGTTTTTTTTTTTGTTAAATTATAAAAGACTTTCTGGTGTTTTTATTACTTACGTTAAATACAAATCCTAAAATAGCATTTTTCACTCCATATTTGGCGTCCACTGCCCTTTTATCTCTCCATTCGTCATTAATTTCTCCAGCCAACCCAACGGACTAAAAAACATTTAAATAGTTATTATATGTGATGGAATATCAAAACGAATAATGTGTAATTTTAGATGGCACATTGGTTTGTTTAATAGTTATTTATGTCATTAGGTTAAGAAGTGAGGCCTACAATTGAGCGAAGCACAAAAAGGCACTTCTTGGCCGAATGGCATACAACATTTTATCTTCAAAGCACTTTATATAGGTCAATTTAATTCAACATCAAAGCGGCCTAACCTCACTTTTTTAGAATCTCATTTATTTATTAGCTAAAGATTACATTAAATGTACAATAATTATTATTGCCTTTAGAAGCAGTAATAGTTTGACAATACCTAGCAACATGATTTAAGTAGAAATGGATTTTTGTTTGGATTTTTAAAAAAAAGGTAGTTTGGAATGTTTAAGTTGTGTTTAACATTTAATTTCACTGAAAACTTAAAGCAAATTAAAACTTAAAGAATATTTAAATCGTAGAAAAAGAATCGTGCGTTTTCTTGGTTGCCTAACCTCACTTTTTGTTTTATTATTCATATTTAATTTTACAATAATTTAATGAAAAATATTAAACATTAACAGTAAAACAAACAAATCAGTGCTTATTATAAATAAATTAAACCAGTTTAGTACGTTAATTTCTTAGAAAAGGATTAATTTGTCAAAACAATACACCTAGCGAGAAAAAGTCGAACTAATTACTTGCCTTATAAAAATTTTTATTGACAACAATAAAGTTTAAATTATAGACCGCGTGGAGATAAAAATTATTAGTTGTAATTATTTTTTTTACATTAAGGTACACTAAGATTTGTTAACATAAGTTTGTAGTTTTTAATTAAATTAAATTTTATTTTGTAAAATTTTTACAAAATTTTTTTTATGTTATTTTTGTGTTCATTTATGTAGGTATGTGTTAATTGTTTAATAAAGCAACATTTCTTATAACAAATTCTCTTTTTTAAAGTTCCCAATTTACAACAAATAATTTTGATACTGGGTCTACATAAATGTTTGTAAAAAATACAAGAATTATGGTTGAAATTGACATAGAATTTTATTATTAAATCTACAAAATACAAACTACTTATTCAATTAAATAACAGATTACAGTTGGTTGTAAACTTAACAAAAAGTTATGTGGACCTGGATTAACATCTGGTTATTATTTGGTTAAAATTAACAAATATTTTTTTACTGTTCATTACTAAAATTGCATGGTTATTAAATTAGAAGACAAAAAGGTTGTCCAAAATGAAGGGGCCAACCCTAAACAGTGCATTATGCATAGAAAAAAAACACTAATTTGTTTTATAAACATGATGGATGATTTTTTTTCTTGAGCATAAAAAGATAAGTTTTTCTTACTATAGTAATTTTAGGATGCTGAATCTAGACCTAAAGTAAAAACTGCAAAATTTAATCATAGGCATACCATTTAGGAGAGGGGGTAGAGGTACAAAAACAGCCCCAAACTTTTTATGGGTTAATGTATTAATTTTTTTTCTAAAATTATAAAAACTAAGGGCTTCTTACTAAAAAAGATATTCTGGATTTTAAAAACATTTTATATGGGTTGCTACTAATATTTCCTAAAAATATAAGATTGGTATGCTAAACAGAGTAATTATCTTAAAATGGTGCATCTGAGCGATGCAAACCGGAAGTACCTTTAAAATATTCACCTAAAAAAATTTGTGTTTATTTTTGTTTTTGATTCGGCATTTTTAATGTCCCACAGTATTAAAATTATTTTTTTTAGGAATACTTTGAAAAAATCATCCCTTAATTCTCCTTCTAGGGGGGCCGTAACTTCGTCAGCGGGCATTTTTTTATACCTGTTTTTTAAACAACTAACTTTAGCCCTATAATTTCGGGACAGCCTGTATACATAAATATATACAGGGTGCCAAAAATTTTGAGCAATACTCTACAAGCGGTTTTTAGGGCCAAAAATAGGAAGAAAACTTGATAAAAATAGGTCGGCAAATGGCCCATAAGGGACCTACAGCCCCTTAAAGGGACGCCCCTTATTATATGTTATTTCCAAAACGGTTTGAGGTAAAATTATGTATTTTCGGGACACATGCATTTTTTAATTAATATTTTTGGTTGAATTTATTAAATTAAATTTTTATTTTTTATTTTTTACTTTTATTCGAAATGAACCATTTTTATCGATGTTTAAGAAGAGTACCATTTTTATGTAGAAAACTGTTATATTCAGTGGCCAACTTTAAAAAAATTGCACACAAAAAAGTTGTGGCTAAAATTACTCCCTGTTTAATATCCTCCTAAATAAAAAGTGAGCATACAAAATAATAAATATATAATCTCAAACCGTTTCGGAAATATTAATAAAAATAAAACATACTTCCTATATTTGTTTTTAGAAACCGCTTGTAGAGTATTTGACGCTATTTTTGGGACACCCTGTATACATAAATCCTATAATATACTAATGAGACACTATTTTCTATGTACTTATAAGCAAAAAATTAATAATATTACCTGTAATTATATCTAACAAGTTTTCATGCTTTATTTATTTTATTAAAATAATAAACAATTTAATGTAAACTAAATTTCTCTGTGGCCACGTATAACTTTCTAGCACAGTTTGGTTGTTATTTTATATTATTTTTAATTTTATAATATGCCTATTAAATGTAAAAACAAGTTCATGTTAGTAGTTTAAACTGTTACACAATTTTGATTTTAAATTTTTGAAAATAAATGGTTTCGAAATTTTTTAATTATTGTTAATGACATTTTAATTATTTGAGTATTTTATAACTTTGAAACCTAGAGTTATTATCAAATTATTTTTATAGCAATACTCGTTAAATCCACAATTATATAATAATCAATTTTACTTTAAATTGAAATATTATGAATTTTAACTTATTATTTATGTAAACTAAATACCTTATTTAAATGCACCATGCATACAACTTATTATTTTGAGATAACATATTATGTTCAAACTAAATAAATTATCATAAACCTCAAATAAAATATAAAAACCTTTTGACCTATTGTAAACCTTTAAGAAAAGTGAAATCTGCTATACCTAACTTATTTTCTTTAAGTATTCAAAGGAATAACTCATTTTGTAATTCATTTAAATATCTAAACCGCGTATTTTCAGTTAATAATGTAATAAACCAAGTAATTACCTCACTATTTCCTTTATTTAATCAATTAATTATTTTAGCAAATAAATTTAACTTTAATACAATATTTTTTAAGTTTTGGTAAAAATTGCTTAATAACAATTATAATCAAGAAATTAAATTATGGGAAAAAAAACTATAATAAACAGGTGAACAGTTACTGGGCGTTTTGTATAATTAAATGTGTCGGCTTTTCAAATTTTTTTAAGCATTTCTAAGGTTGTTACTTTCCTATATCAAGGTTAACAATCCTCATAAATATTGATCTCTTTTTATACGTGTAAGTACATTATTATTAAATAATTTTAACCTAAAAATATAACTAAAGACAATAATAACTTTTTTAGGCAATACAAATAAAAATTTAAACTTTTCAGATCTTCTATTAATCATTGTTATGTATTCGCGTTAAATCTGAGCCATTCACATTGCGAAAATGATGGTCAATGACTTAAAAATTAACATTTTTTATTCATAAAGAAAGTGAATCGAGAATCATCAATGGTATATGAAAGCAAATCCACCAAATTTTGCGAGTTACCTAACCGCGTTAATTTGATAAAGGTTAAATACTTAAAATTACGATAAATTTATTACTTACATGATGTATGGGATCTATTGTTTCTCTTTTTTGTACTGTCCTACATTCTGCAATGCTTGTAATAGCCACCAAACCGACCAGAACTAAACCGTAGTGCTTCATTTTGCTAGAAAAGATACACCAAAAATGTTACTCAAACTAAAACAATAAATACATAGTAAAAATAAATTGTAAACACGTTTTGTCTCGAATAACGACTGAGTAAAAGTGTAAAAGTTAAACAACATAATTGTCTAATAGCAGAACTTATTAATTTCTAGAGACTATGGAAAGTTTATGATCTTACTTGCTTTTCAGTGATCTTGTATGCTGCCTTAAACGCAGATACTGAATAAGTGGTAAGATATAATGTTGAATTTAGAAAGTAAGTTTATATTGAAATCAAAAGTGAACTTGCATAAATTTATTAATTTATTATCTGTGAACTGTTGTTTTAAACTTTATTGGAAAATAATTTAAATCTATTATTAATTAAAAATTAAGTACATTCTTTGTCAAAAAGTTTTAAATTTAGGCATACAATAAAGAAAATATTAAAAAATTAAAACCCTTAATCCTTAAACTTGCCTGACAAAAACGTAACCTCAAACCAGTTTGGATTCACCCTTTGACAAAGAACGTACTTACTATTTGACACTTTTTAAAACAACCGTGTATGATAAATATGGCGCTTGCACTGTTTTCTAATGAAAATAAACATGCGGCAAAACGTAAGCAGTGGGAAGAAGTAAAAAAAAAAAAATAACAAAGGAAAACGTCTTACACTCTTGGACAGTGGTACGTAACTAAAGAGTGAATGTGATAATTCCTAAAAAGTTCTTCTTATTTCATTTGCTGATATGTAGGTCGTATGCAGTCGGTTTGCGTCGAGGAGTGGCGAATGGCCATCGAGGTCAAGGAGGGTGGTGTCTGGGGTGTGTGGTGGACTGGACTTGGTACTAAAAGGGGTATTTGATCTTGAACTTGAAGGATTTTGGGGGGAGATTGGATGATGCAGTTTGGATAAACTAATTTATTGATGATATAACTTTATTGATATTTTATTAAAATTTTATACGTATTTCATAAAAAACTGTATAATAAAATGTCATTATTAAACATTTTAATGTTTTTTCACTTTAACTAAAACTGAAAGTTATTTTTAACTATCAGCACTTAAAATAAAAAGTTTTAAGCATTTAAAGGAAATTTAAATTTAGTTTACCAAACTGTCTGTAAAATAAATATTTAAAATAAATAAATTAAATTTAAATACTAATATAAATTTAATGTGCATTTTAATTCAGTGCTTATTTAGATTCTTATATTGTCATAGTTTTATTTTAAAAACTTGTACATCGTCGATAATAATCACAAAATTAAGATAATGTTGATTAAGGTTAAGTAATATTTTAAAATAACAAAGCAACTAATAATGAATTAATATGAACAACTTTATAAACTCTTTCTACGACTTTATACGCAAAAATTAAATAAGTTTCAACAATGCATAAAATCTGACATCTTTCAGTGTGTTCTAACCTCACTTTTTAGTCGCTTTATTTTGACGATTGTATGACATTTGATAAGTGTATATAACTTCAGCCTTTAAATAAAAAGCTCAATATAACTGTTGCTAACTTCAGCCCGTGATTAAAAGCCCATACATTTACAGCTAAGTTAAACTACATCAAATATATTTATTATTAATTTTATTAATTTTTTTAAAAGTAACGATAATTTTAAAAAACTGTAAACAAAAAAATCTTAAGATTATATTATGTATCAAGTTTGATAAACGCCATTTTAGTAACGAATTTTAATTAGGTACGAGCGAGTGTTTAATAAATAAGTGTCTAGAAAAGTTTTTAAAAAAGTTGCATAATAATAAACTTTTTCTACGACAAATGGTTATTATTATTTGTAAATAATTTAAATTAAGTAATTCTATGTGGCGACATCTATAAAACAATAGAGTAACCATTTTTGGGAATCTGTATTACCCGCGCGCCGGTATAAATTTCAAATTGTTGTGTAAATCGAAATGCATCCGTTGAAAATGAACAAACTACAGTTTTTGACATTTTTTATGTCAGTTTTAATGTTTTTTTATGATATATAATTCCATAAATTATATCTGCAAAAAAATGTTTTTAATAAAAATTTTAATTATACCATTGCGGTGGAAATTTTATAAAATGTACTTTTACATGTCAAAGTACGAATGACATTTTTTTTTCTTTTTGGAACACAAAACTAAGATGGTATTTTATAAAATTAAAACTGCAATGGTAGGTGTTTAAGGTTTAAATAATTAAAATTGTTTAAATAACTGTTAACTGCTAAAAAATTATCGCTAGTAGCGCCACCACTCGGCTGTTATCATCGTAACCTAAGTATAACTTTTGATAATCAGCTGTCAAACACGTGTGTTACAAATGTGTGTTTTTAAGAATAAAGCCGGAAAATGTTAAAAAAAAATATCGTGTTGGTGGGTGTATTTCGAGTCCAAATAAATATAAATTGTATTTATTACATTTTAATTCAGTAAAAATCGTGAAACAAATAAGTCGTCTTAATTTAAACAGCATTTAGCATTATTAAAAGAGTTGATTAAGAATTCTTTAGTCTTCAATCAACTGTAAAATACCATTATATTATGGATTATATATAATATTATGTTGCATGAATTCGTAGGTATATTTTGTTGTTTAACAACCAAAAACTCAAATATAAAAATGGTTGATTTTAAGGTTATGCTTAACCTTAAAATCAACCATTTTTATATTTGAGTTTTTGGTTGTTAAACAACAAAATATACCTACGAATTCATCGGTATACCGAATTGGATCCTTTGGCAAAAAATGCAAAGATTTACAATTAAAACCACAATAATTCACCATGATCCCTTGAATAAAATACACACACTAACGTAACTATATAAGCATTTAAGCTTTGAGTTTCTTAATCAATGATATAAAGAATAATTAATCGAAATTGAGTACTAAACCAGTTTTTAGTTATTTTTCTTGCAATGTAAAACAAAGTTAACGTACTTCTTAAGGGTATATTTATCGTAAAAAACACTTTACAACTGTCCAAAAAACTGTCATCTAACTATTACAAACGAGTCGTAAGTTATCCATTTTTCTTTTAAATGTTGTAAAATTAAAAGGTATTTAAAAAAACTAGTATTATTTTTTTAAATATGCCTATAGGAACACAGAGGGGGATATTTTATACTTAAATAAATTATGAAAACACCCTGTATTTTGCATGTGTTTTGTCTTAAATGCTTTAGTAAATTTCCTCCGAATTTATTTTAACTTTACGATACTTCAAAATAATATTTTCTTTTCCCATGGGTGCACCGAATTTATTTTTACTTTACGATACTGCAAAATAATATTTTCTGTTCCCATAGGTGCACCTATCATGTTTTAGGATACATTGATATGGCGTTTAAGTCACAAGCCGGTAAACAGATTCGCAACATCAATTTGGTTATATATTATTAAAAAAAGTATTTTATTACTTATTTATTATTAATTATTATTCTTAAAAACTACTTTGGCTTTAAAATAAAAATTGAATGTGATGTAACACTATTTGTTTCACAAATACTTCCTGTAGATTAAAATGACACGTTTAATAATTAACAATCCTTGTTATTCATTGTCACATAACCAAAAAAATAGCATTATTATTTTTAATAATAACCATAGGGCCATAAATTAATAAAATACCTATTAACAACTAAAGTCATTAGCAAAAAAATTAAACAAATAAAATTACCTTAGCACTATTTTTTTAGTCGTTGCAAAATATGTGATTGACCATGAATATAAATTAAGGTTTAATAAAATATTATATAGCTTTTATTTAATATTTTATAATAGATTTTTGTATTTTTTTCTTAAATAATAATAATTTTGCGTCTGAGATTAGGGTATGAAATTATGAAAGGTTTATCGAAATCCATATTGAATATAAAAAATACATATTATAATACTAATTAACCTATATAAAAAATTAAAAATAATCCAAATCAGTGTATGTAACTGTAAGATTACTGGTAAATGTAGAATAAATTCATACATATAACCCTAGACATACATATAACCTATAATGGTGAACGTCAACATTATGTACCTTATGTAAAGTGTCACAAACTCAAGAATTCCAATGTACAGAATTATTAAACACTTGAAAAAAATGTATGGAACATTTTACCTATGCATTGTTGTAATAGGAACTAAATTAATTGGAAATTTAAAAATAAATAAGTAAAAATATCAAGTTGCTTTGACAACAATTTTTTATATCCTAAACGAAAAACGGCAAAACCATAATATGGTAAACAAAATTATTTGTTCTACGTTTTTGCACAAAACTCGTTAAAATGAATCGTTTTAGTAATATTCTAAAGGAAAAAAGACAGTGAAGAATAAAAATAGTTATTACTATTATACAATAGAGTACCTACCTAAGTTATATTTTTGTTAATTTCGGTTTAATAACCTAACCATTTTTTGTATTTTTAGTGGGTATTTGTTTATAAATATTGCATAAAAAAGAACATCCTCCAAATTGAAGATTTTAAAACAAAATCTAATCTTGAACGTTTCTCAACAAAAATTAGGATTTTGTTAAATTCTATTTTATTTATAAACGGTGTAAAAAAAATCTGGTGGCGCTCTATAGCGTTGTGGGAATTCAAGAATTGTCATCAGTTCGTTCATTTAAAGCATACGACCTGCACGCAGAAAAAAATCTAACATAGTACCAAGAACAGCGCTGTCATTGAATGCATTAAAATTGAAGCAATCTGAATTGTTATTTGCTCAATTAATTACTATTAAACCAAAATAGGGAAATATTTTGCCTAAATGTCAAAGAATTTATTGCGTTAAATGTATACATAGTATACATATAATAGTAACGTTATTAAATAAATCAAATTAGTATTTAAAGCAATAACATTCTAACATTCTAACAAATAAATATCAATATGAATATCAATAGATTTAGAAGCGATAACTTTTGTTGTTAATTTAAAAACTGTAAACGATTGTAAACCAAGTGCTAGCTACCTATTGGTATTATAGAAACTGTTATCCAGGAATA